TATATATATATATATATATATATATATATATATATATATATATATATATGGAAAGTATTCAGACCCCTTAATTTTTTTTACTCTTTGTTATATTGCAGCCATTTGCTAAAATCATTTAAGATCATTTTTTTCTTCATTAATGTACAAACAGCACCTCTTATTGACAAAAAAATACAGAATTGTTGACATTTTTCAATTTTTTTAAAAATCAAACTAAAATATCTCGTGGTCCTAAGCATTCAGCCCCTTTGCTTAGTATTTAGTAGAAGATCTAATACAGTCGAGAGTCTTTTTGCGAAAGACGCAGCAAGATTTTCACACCTCGATTATGGGATCTCTGCAATTCCTCCTCGCAGATCCTCTCCAGTTCTGTCAGGTTGGATGGTAAACGTTGATGCACAGCCATTTTTAGATCTCTCCAGAGATGCTTAATTGGGTTAACATCAGGGTTCTGGCTGGGCCATTCAAGAACAGTCATGGAGTCGTTGTAAAGCCAGATTTATTAATAAAGAAAATCTAAAATATCACATGGTCCTGTGTATACAGACCCCTTGCTGTGATGCTCATATATTTAACTCAGGTGCTGTCTATTTATTCTGATCATCCTTAAGACGGTTCTACACCTTTATTCGAGTCCAATTGTTTTTGATTATACAGACTGGACTTGATTAGGAAAGCCACACACCTGTCCATATAAGACCTTACAGAGCAAATGAGAATTATGAGGTTAAAGGAACTGCCTGAAGAGCTCAGAGACAGAGTTGGGGCAAGGCACTGATCTGGCCAAGGTTACAAAAACAATTCTGCTGCACTCCTAATAGCACAGTGGCCTCCATAATCATTAAATGGAAGACGTTTGGGATAACCAAAACCCTTCTTCGAGAGTTACTTTACATTCTGATTTTCATTCCATGAAGCGTGGTGCTTCATAAGTGTTCATAAATGCAATGTTTGCTAGACATTCTTAATTTATTAGTTAAAAATGCATTTAATAACCGCAGGTTGAGCTTCCCACACACCCTTTGAATCCAAGGTGAAGTGTGTCCTTTTTTTGATGTTCAAAAATTGTAATTTAAAAAATGTAAACACTGTGGCTTCGTGATATTTTCAGTTTAAGCAAGTGGTTTTCAGCCAATGGAAGACCAAGGGTGCACCGTTCCACACAATTCATTCATTTTACCCCAACGGACAGGAGCGCCACTAGGGGGACAGGGGGTGGGGGGTGGGGTTAGGACGATTCTAAGGGCCCATACATTTAGGGGAGGCCAAGAGACATTATCAAGATCTCAAGAATTGTGTTGTTTCAGCTTATTTCATGTGCAGTTGAGGTCTGAATTATTAGCCCCCCTGTATATTTTTTCCCAATCTCTGTTTAACGGAAATAATTATTTTTTTTGCACATTTTGTAAACATAATAGTTTTAATAACTCATCTCTAATAACCAATTTATTTTATTTTTGACATGTTAGCAGTAAATAATATTTGACTAGATATTTTTCAGGATACTAGTAATCAGCCTAAAGTGACATTTAAAGGCTTAACTACGTTAATTATGCAAGTTAGGGTTAAAAAAATGTGCTTAAGAGGGCTAATAATATCAACTTTTCAATAGTTTAACACAATTTTAAAACAACTAAGACTTTCTCCCGAAGAAAAAAAAATATTATAGGAAATACTGTGAAAAAAAAATTGCTGCATTAAATATCACTTGTGAAATATTTGATGAAGAATAAATATTTCGCAAGAGGGCTAATCATTTTAACTTCAACTGTAAGTAGTTTAAACAAGCAGCAAAAACATTTTTGAGTGTATGTTTGGAAACAGTCTGGCAACGCAGAAAAGACACACTTCATCTGTCATGCTGGATTTATGGAAATTAGTGAACTTGTTCTTTTAAAATAAAAAGAAACATAATTCAGTAATTTCCTAATTTTGCCACTGTGCTTTCCTCTTATCGAACTCTTACAGACCATTTTTTTGGACCAAAAGACCGAAGTGCTTCAATGACCGCATGTTTACTGCAATTGTTTACCCTCAAAACGAAGCTTAATATTCAACCCAGGCTCATTCTGAAAAACGTACCCCTGTATACATTTCTGGAGAGCGCCAAATACATCCCAGGAGCTATGTTTTTCTGCAGTTTTTGTTTTTGCTAATCCACCAGAGACCGCTGTGTGCGCATTTTGAGATCTCAAATTTCTCTCGCAAGGGCCATTCGTGCCTGCTGTTCTCATGTAAATGCACCTGAAGCCACTGCTGACTGACCTACAGACCAAAACTCCCACCCACACCCTTCCCTTAACCCAACCGGTAGTGTTTTTAAAAGGACCGAAAGCACCCACCCATTTCTCCTAACCCAACCGATAGTGTTTTTAAAAGTAATCCAGAAAAAGAAAAGCCCTCGCGGCAGCCTGATTTTTACCGCGTTTTCAGGTTTTACCACATTCTTACCGTTATTTATTTTATTTTTTGGCTTTTGTCTTACCTGCTTTCTGGAACCATACTTCGCTAGATTCAAACCTCGTCGTCACAGTCAACTCCGCTCTGCAAGCACCCACCCATTTCTCCCAACCCAACCGATAGTGTTTTCAAAAGTAATCCAGAAAAAAAAGCCCTCGCGGCAGCCTGATTTTTACCGCGTTTTCAGGTTTTACCACATTCTCACTGTTATTTATTTTATTTTTTGGCTTTTGTCTTACCTGCTTTCTGGAACCATACTTCGCCAGATTCAAACCTCGTCGTCACAGTCAACTCCGCTCTGCAAGCACCCACCCATTTCTCCCAACCCAACCGATAGTGTTTTCAAAAGTAATCCAGAAAAAGAAAAGCCCTCGCGGCAGCCTGATTTTTACCGCGTTTTCAGGTTTTACCACATTCTTACCGTTATTTATTTTATTTTTTGGCTTTTGTCTTACCTGCTTTCTGGAACCATACTTCGCCAGATTCAAACCTCGTCGTCACAGTCAACTCCGCTCTGCTAGCACCCACCCATTTCTCCCAACCCAACCGATAGTGTTTTCAAAAGTAATCCAGAAAAAAAAGCCCTCGCGGCAGCCTGATTTTTACCGCGTTTTCAGGTTTTACCACATTCTCACTGTTATTTATTTTATTTTTTGGCTTTTGTCTTACCTGCTTTCTGGAACCATACTTCGCCAGATTCGAACTTTGCCGTCACAGTCAACTCCGCTCTGCATCTCAAATCCTCCAACATACGTGGTGAGCCACTGGGCAAACTGGTAACAGTGGAAAAGCCGTTTATACAGATATAAGCAGTCAGCTGCTAGCGCGAAAAGTAATGGGATCATACCGCCCCATAGCATTCGTTTTAAAGCTGAAATGCAGCCATACGTACCTCGCAATCTCCAGCAATGTATACAGGGGAACGTTTTCAGAGTGAGCCTGTATTGTTAATATTCCTAAAAAAAAACTACTTACTGTGTTATTTACAAACGGTAATGCAGTAATGTCTTATTCAATTCTGCAAATTCCAAACTTGCCTGTCGCAGAGTAGACAACATATTCATTTTTTGTACATATGTAAGGAATATTTGTTGATGTAGGTGTTGTTGTACACTTGTGTGTGGTTTACCATACGTTTTACTGTATGTTGTCTGTTTGTACAGTTTTATACACACAAAATAATAATAATATAGCAGAGTTTCTTGTTTGTTTCACACAAACTTAAGTTCCTTTTTAAGTTATTTCCAAGGGAAAGATGTATGATGTTTATTTATTAAGCATGCTCATTATAGAATATGATAACAAAATGGAATGGTACTGTACATTGCTGTTATAATTATTTATTACTCTTATTTTCCGGGTTATTAAAACAAAAGACTATACTTTTCTAATTCAATATTTTGAGTATTTTTAAGGATATATTTTATGGAGATGATTGCATATCCATTTATTCTCTTGATTTCTCAGTATTATTTGTTATGCTGTCATATTAAATCTATTTTCTGTGTGATACATTGTTTGGAGCTCTGCTTTAGTTTTCACATCGCATTGATTGTACTGAATGATGGTTGCATCTCTGTTATGCATAAATTGTTTGAGCAATAAAAAAAAGAGATGACATGGAAACTGGTATGGAAAAGAGCTTTTCACACAGAATGTTCTATAGCTCGCTGTTGCTCATCGGTTTGCTGATAGACAGTGAAAGCAATTTAACACATGAAACATTGATGCGCTTATTATATATATATATATATATATATATATATATATA